AGGGGGAGAGGGAGGGAGACAGACATCAATTACTAAGAATCTTACTTGCCCAAGATTTTGCCAATGAGAAGGTGATCAAGAGATGGAGAAAGGAGAGAGGGAGGGAAAGGGAAGTAAAAGGAAGTTGTACAGGGACCCACACTCTCACACAAAATTTAAAAATTAAAAAAAACCCAGATACCTTAACACTATGTGGGGAGGTGCTAAATACTTCAGTACAATTCAGTACTCCTAATTAAAAGTAATTTTCTATTAGACTTTAAGGAAAGTTTAAGTAATAGGTAATAATTTTTTTAAGGTTAGGGTACTGCTTCCGTAGCTTGTCTTCTGAGAGAACGGGTGCTATATAATTCATCTTCCAATTATTATTTTTTAGTTGCATTTTAAAACTTTGTTTTGAGACAGGGTCTTGGCAATGTAGTCCAGGCTGGCCTCAAACTGAAGTAATGGTGTAGGCCAGGATGGCTCAGAACTCTCTGCAACCCTCCTGCCTCAGCCTTCTGAGTGCCGGGATTACAAATGTGCATCAACATGCCTGGCTTAAAAATTTTTTTTTATTTTACATCAATACATATCTTTTGTCTACATAAAAATTTTCCTAAATGTAAAGCACTAATAATACTCTAATTTTTCCAAGAAATTTCCCTTAAAAAACAGGAAGCCACCCCCCATAGTAAACAAATTTAAAACAGCAAGGGCAAATTAGTTCAGAAAGCGTTAGTCATGAGTTTGTAAGGGGAGCAATTCATATTCTTCTAAAACAGACTATAAGTCAGACCAAATCATACCCAAACTCTTACAAAAATGCATGCTTGTATGAATCTCATGGGAGTAGGGGGACCGAGACTCAAACCCGAGGGTGCTCTACCACTAAGCTACATCCTCAACCCTTTTTATTTTGAGACAGGGTCTCACTAAATTACCAGGCTGGCCTCCAACTCATAACCCTCCTGCCTCAGCCTCCAGAAGACCTGGGATTACAGGCAGGAGACACCATTCCAGGCTTCATAGAAATCATTGCAATTCCTTATTTTACATGCACCTATTAACAGGAAATTAGACTGTCTAGAAAACTAAGGTAAAAATACATTAAGATAAGTACGCCCAGAAATTCAAAAGCAAATAAAAGGTTAAGTAAGGAAACAGAATTCTCCGAAAAAGTTATCAGTAAAGAGGGAAGGTTAAAATAGGCCAAAGTACCTTGTTCTGGGCACAACTCAAATGAGATTGCGTCAGAAACAAAGAATAGGGACCATCTGGTTTCTCTCAAAAATATGCATAAGGGGAAATATCCAAGATACTACACTCAAACAATTACGTAAGTAGCTTATAAAGAATCAATAGAATCAATATTGCCTGTGGTTTCAGAATAAGAGTTTGTTTATTCAAATGAGGGCCTTTCATTGTTATTAACAGGGCCTTTTGTTAAATGCATAGCAATTAGCTCTGGGAACAAAAGAAAGAAGGTAAGCAAAATGTCCTACTTTGCTGGACTCAGCAAACAGGCTGATGTACTAACAGTCCCTCATGATGACAACAGCTCTCAATTGAACCAATAAACCATTAAACTGTAAAGAGAATAACCAACACAGGCATATTTACCTTTTCATTTAAAAAAAAAAAAGTTTACAAGGACTCTCAGGGGACTATTTTGAAAGGTATGTTTTATGTTCCCTTGAGTTGCTTCATTTCTCTAGATGACTTAAGGAAACAGAATGCAGGAGGGGTCAAGGCTCTTTTGTAGGGGTTAAAAAGATTAACATTTCAATACTCATACTTCCCTCCTGATTGCTTGGTTTAGTGGAATTTATTCTATTTTATCACTACTACTAACTCCTGGCTATGGAGCAAATCAAGGGACCTCTGATGAATGGTACTTTACTGAGCAAATAAAATGGTAAGAAGGAAATTGTTAAAAAAAAAAAAAAAAAAAAAGATATTCAATATCACCCTAGTACCTTAAGGCTACCTGTAATGTCAGATTCTGAAACTCTCGTGAAACTTGGTTTAGAAAACGAAGTCCCTAGAAGGTTACTCTAATTTATAAAATTTAATGTTTAAAGGGATGCTGGAGCGCTGTAACCCAACTTCATTTTCCTTTCTAAAACAAGGTTAAGGCCCTGGTCGGGTC